AATGGTATCTATAGATCGAGAATACAAGATCCCAGAAGGTGTTTCACTTTGATTTCTACTATTCGTTTAGATATCGCCGACATTTTTTATACATAAGTTATCTTCACTATACCCTAACAGATAGTACCAAGAAGGGACTTTCAAATACTTGTGAAATATCTTACATTGGTTCTGAATAAACTTACTCATAATATCGAGTACATATAATTCGTATCAGAAAACAGAGTGCGTGGGTGAGGCTTGTAATCTCCTCTTTATTCACACTAACACCTACACCCTTTTAAAGCATTTCAAACGATATATTTTTCATTAAATAAGAATGTAATCAATGTTTTATCAGTAGTTGAAAAGATCGATTTTCTGATCTTCTCTGTTTGTGCCTTGGTCAGCATCGATCTTAGTAATTGATTAACCGATATTGGTTTAGTCAGATGGGTGAAACATAATGAAATAGGTACTTCGATCTCTACATGCATGATGCATAGACAGTAGATTGAAGTCATAACATCAATATCTTGAATGTCGATTTTTACGATTACGAATCCAGGTTTCTCGAATCTAATTGATTCTTATAGAATGCTAAAAACCATACAAATCGATAGAAATCAATGTCTTCCTGGTTAAACCATGACTATCTTTGAGGATTCATTGAAACCGTGAAAGCCACGATCTATTTTTAAGACTTGCTCTGTTAACTTTATTAGAAGAGTAAGTGTAAATAGAAAAACTCTTATATCACCTAGATACATTAGTCATATAAAGGCTGCGTCCATCAAGATGCTTGCGATTTTTCTGCTTCGTCTGCTTATCGTGGTTAGTTTGCCAATATGTTTTGGAAATATTAATCCAGATATCAACGACTATGATGCTTATGGATTGAAGATAGCTGCTAACAATCACCTTTTAGTCGAGTCACAGCCTGATGCTTACGGATTTTTCATACTATTCGCACCATACAATAATGTAGCTGAAGGTCAACGGTGTTTTTTGCAGTATGATGACAAAATGGATTATGTTTACTCGGTAGGAGTCGGTTCACAGGCAAGCGAAAAAAGCTTTTACGCTATCGGTCAAGTCATTACTACAAGTCAACAGGAAACTGATAAAAATCAAGGCAATGGCACATTTATGACATTCTACAATTTTGAAAACCGTCAACAATGTACTGAAATCACACATATCATAACTGATTATGTTTCTCTGCCCCAACAGAATTTTCTCGTTATGGTTGTCCATCCGACTGGAGAATTTGCGCTCGGACTAGCCGAAAGCTTTGTGTTTAGATTTGATCCATTCAATTTCCCACCAATCATTACGAATATTTTGTTTTGGCCTGATAGCTCCTTTACTCCAAGAGCGGCTGACATCGATATCAATTTCACTGTTGTAGCCGGTTTAGTTGACAATATGGATTCGTCTAGTATACGTGCGAGTGTCGTTGTCTACTTAATTGATAACAATTTAAACAATATCCACTCTATTTGGACCTATACACCGTCGAATAACAGCTGGCACAGCGAATTGCCTTTTTTGGGAACTAAGAGCTGGTCTGCTAAATACACTATGTCTGTTGATATCAACAACGTTGATCCAACACGCATATTAGTCGGCATTCCTTATCTCAATACTGTCTTTCATTTTATCGTGAGTAATGATGGAGCCAAATTGACACTGTCCAGCCAAGCAGATAATGGAAATGGTGTTGGCTTTGGCAAAGGTGTTGCTTGGCTAGGATCTGATCAAGCTGCTATTCTTGCCAGTAAATACAAGTCC